TCTTTATTATTTTATGAAGTAGTTACAGCATACACATTTATCAAAAGTACATAGTCCTAAACACTTAATCATAACATATTCTGAAGTAATGATGACTCTGAATCATAGGCAGTTTCTATAGGCATCCATTTGTAAACTTTAAAAGACTTCAAAATAGTCCTCATCCTAATATGAATATAATTCTAGGATTGTATAACGTATGTCTGGAGACTTTAGTAACTGTTTCCCTCATGAGTATTCTGTATCAAATATTTTATCTTGATTCCTGTTTTAATTTAGTTACGTTTCCTAAGAAGTTATCCCTTGCCACTGTACCTTTCCTTTACGTAGTGCATAGCTTCCTTAAGATGGTATTTAAAAATCTAATGGGATTATGATCTGTAAGCTCTTGATGGAAGGATGTGCACTTGGTTATGGAGGCGTATGCCATGGTGAAAAGCATACTAGATAAAGTGTTAAGAGGCTCTGGGCTCTGGTTGCCATTGAGACTTGGCCAGATGATGACTTCTTCCTGAGTCTCAGCTTCCTGGGGAGTCTGTGAGGGATGATGAAATTGCATAGGTTTTGGATTCAGACAGACCTTGCTGTGGGTCATAGATCTGTCTCTTGGGAAAATTGCTCTAACTGCTTAGCCTCAGTTTCCTCATCTGGAAAATGGGGACAGTGTATCTACTTCATAGATTTTTGGTAATAATTAAACTTTGAATGAGATAAGTATATGAAGTACCTTGCACAGTGCTTGGTTCTTCTTAGTGGGTGTTAGTATATGTTGGGGGCGTGGAAGTTGCAGTTATTATCAAACCTGCTCGTCTTATACCAGGGGTGCCCAAAAAATGTACACACATGACTTGCCATTCATCTTTTGTTATTGGTATATATTGAGTATTACAATTTTAATACAGTCTTTTTCTTGCTTAAAATGTGTATTCATTTTTTTTGTACCCTCTGTATTATTGTTAGGAGATGAAGCCCGTGAAAACATGAAGATGAAGGGGGTAGGTAGCGGTGCTGGTAGGATATTGATTACCCTTCCAGGCTGGCAAAATACAGGGGAACAAGAAGTGTTTAAAGATGCTTTTTTGGATAATTATACATTTTCTAATGTTACTTTCCCAAGGTAAAATCTGACATTGTAAAACAGGATTTTTAGGTAATTTTTGAGCATGTGAAACTTTGAGAAGATTTGTGGTATGCTCATTAAAAAAAGAAACCAAGGAAATAGCACTTCAGCTAAAGCTTAAATTATGTCCTTGAATGGGGTGCCCCCTGCTGACTTTTAAAAATAGACGTTCTTACATCTTTCCAAGTACTGTTTTAAAAGCTGTTTTTTCTATTTTTTAAATTGAAGGTTAATTGTAAAGCAGTTTTGAGGAAAATGAGTAAGGTAGACAAGGTCTTTGCTTGGATCCTTCTTTTACTCTGTCTTCCTCCATACAAGCACCCCCTCTTCCAGTGAGGCCTTCTCTGACCCAGGTCAGATCACGCTGATAGCATGTGATAAAGGTCCTTCACTTAGCTGGCTAGAATCACTGCTGAAGTAGATATGTTTATTTTTTAGGTATGTCAATATAACATGATATAATTTCAGTTTCTCTTCCCCTTATAACATATTTATTTATTTTTAATGTCATTATTTGTCTATGATAGTTTTTTAAGGTATACCTTTTGTTATATGCTATGAATGTCTGATCATTTTATTTACACTTTTATTTTGGGGTAGTAAACATTGTAAACAATATGATGATGAATATTTTTGTACTCAAATCTTTGTGTCTGATTTCTTTTTTTTTCTTAGGGCAGATTTATAGAATTAGAATGAATGGATAAAAGGCAATAAATATTTTTGTGGTTCCTGTTAAATTGATAAAATGCTCTTTAGAAACATTGTGTCCACATGCATTCCCAGTCAGTATGTATAAAATTACCCTTTAGTTAGAACTTCCACCAGTGGATATTGATCAGATTTTATAACCTTTGCCAATCAACTTTATTGAGGTATAATTCACATATAATAATGTATACATTTTAATTTTATTAACTGTGGTAAAATATTCATAATATAAAATTTACCATTTTAGCCATTTTTAAGTCTACAATTCAGTGGCATTAAGTATATTCATAATATGTGCAACTGTCACCACTATCAGTTTCCAAAACTTTTTCATCATCCCAGACAGAAGCTTTTAGCCATTAAACAATAACTCCCCATTTCTCTTCCTCCAGGTCCTGGTAACCTCTATTCTACTTTTTCTCTCTGAATTTGCCTGTTATCTAGTGTTAAGTGGGGTCATACAGCATTTGTCGTTTTGTGTCTGGCTTATTTCACTTAGCTTAATGTTTTCAAAGTTAATCCATGCTGTAGCATGTATCAGAATTTCATTTCAAGGCTGAATAATGCTCCATATATGTAAATGCAGCATTTTGTTTATCTTTTCATCTGTTGATGGACGCTTGGCTTGCTTCTACCTTTTGGCTATTGCAGATAATGCTGCTGTGAACATGGGTGTACAAGTATCTGTTCAGGTCCTTGCTTTCAGTTCTTCTGGGTGTACACCGAGGCGTGGAATTGCTGGATCATACGGTAATCCTATGTTCAACTTCTTGAGGAACTGTCGTACTGTTTTCCACAGCAGCTGCGCCAATTTACATTTCCACCAACAATGCATGAAGGTTCCAATTTTTCCATATACTCCCAACACTTTTTTCTTTCGCTTTTATAGCTGTCCTAATGGGTGTGAAGTGGCATCTCATAGTTTTGATTTGCATTTCACTGTGACTAGTAATATTGAAGCATCTTTTCAAGTGCTTATTGGCTATTTGCATATCTTTGAAGAACTATCAGTTCAAATCTTTCGCACATTTTAATTGGGTTGTTTTATGTTGTTGATTTGTAGGAGTTCTTTATATATCCTGGATATTAACTTCTTATCAGACATATGATTGACTAATATTTTCTCTCGTTCTGTGGGTTACCTTTAAACTCTGTTGATAGTGTCCTTTGATGTATAAAGATTTAAAATTTTGATGAAACCCAATTTTTCCTTTTTTTTTTTTGTTGCCTGTGCTTTATGGGTCCTATCCAAGAAATCATTGCAAATCAATGTCAAAAATGTTTTCATCTAAGAGTTTTATAATTGTGGCTCTTATGTTTAGATTTTTTATTAGTTTGAGTTTATTTTTGTATATGGTGTTAGGTAAGGGTTCCATTTCTTTTTTATGTACTTGTATATCCACTTTTCCCAGCACCATTTGTTGAAAAGGCTGTTCTTGCCCTACTGAGTGGTATTGGCACCCTTGTCAATGATCACTTTGATCATATATGTGAGGGTTTTCTTCTAGGCATTCTATTCCATTCCATTGGTCTATATGTGTCTCTTTATACCAGGACTACAATGCCAGAATTTCCACAGCTTTGTAGTAAGTTTTGAAACCAGAAAGTGTGAGCCCTCCAACTGTTCTTTTTCAAGATTATTTTGGCCATGTGTGGTCCCTTGAGGTTCATGTGAATTTTAGGAAATATTTTTGTAATTTTTGGTGTAAGTTTGATACTTAAATAAGGTAAAAGTAAATGCTAACCATCAACTTTTAAAAGTACTTTCTCCATTTGTGAATTCTTTGATTTGCTCCTTGCTTGAGTAGTTTTCATTATTTTAACAATTGTATTTTAAAGAAGGTCTTCAGAGGCTCTGCTTCTGGAGTTGCTGCCTCTTCGAGGCTTTCTGTCTGTGATATCAGGGTTTAGGCATAGCGGCTGAATGAGATTCTTGCACTTTCGGGCCATGTCCCCCCCCACACACACACCGCGCCATCGTTGGGCGTTGGCTCTTCTGTGCCAGCTGTAGCTCTGGGAGACCCCGGGGGCCAGCCTGACTTTTTCTTCCTCTTGTACCTGACCAGTGTGATTTCATTTTTCAGTGTGTGAATTTTTCTTTTTATTCCAGGCCTGTACATTTTACTAGAATATGTCTTGGTGTCTCTTTACTAATTTGCTTCAGCAGTTGGTCTATTAAATTCCTCAGCCTTTCTTTAGCTTTTTAAAAATTATTTCCTAACGATTTCTTCATCTCTAGTTCAATTTTTTTTATGCTCCTGAAGCTTCTAGAGCATGGGTGTGGGATGTTGTGTCGCTTGACTGGTCTCTTTTTCTTCTGCTTTCTCACTTTTTTTTTATTGAGCTATAATTCACATGTCATAAAATTCACCTTTTTAAAAATTAAGACAGTTTTTTTAGAGCAGTTTTAGGTTCATAGAAAAATTGAGGGGAAGGTATAGAGATTCCTCATATGCATCCTGCTCCCCAAAACATGCATAGCCTCCCGCATTATTAACACCCCCCCGCCCCGCCTGCCCGACCAGAGTGGTACATTCGTCATAGTTGATGAACCTACACTGACATATCATAATCAGCCAAAGTCCATAGTTTATATTGCAGTGCACTCTTTGGGTTTTACACTCTGGGGGCTTGGAGAAATACATGACATGTATTCAGCCTCATAATCCCATTCAGAATATTTTATCACTCTGAAAATCCTGTGTTGCATCAATTCACTCCTCACCATCTCGTATCCTTGGCACCCACTGACCTTTTGATTGTCTCCATAGTTCTGCTGGTTCTAGAATGTCATACGTTGGAATTCTGCAGCATGCAGTCTTCTCAGATTGGCTTCTTTCACTTAGAAATACGCGTTTAAGTTTTCTCCCTTTTTTTTTTTTTTCATGGCTTGATAGCTCATTTCTTTTTAGTGCTGAATAATATTCCATTGTCTGGATGGACCACAGTTTGTCCATTCACTGACTGAAGGACATCTCGGCTGCTTCCAAGGTTTTGGCAGTGATGAGTACAGCTATTATTCACATTTGTGTGGACATCTGTTTTCAACTCCTTTGGGTAAAGACCAAGGAGTGTACTGCTGGATCATATGGGAAAGTATGTTTAGTTTTGTGAGAATCTGCCAGACTGCCTTTGAAAACGGCTGTACCATTTTTTTTGTGTTCCCACCGTGAGTGTTCCTGCTGTGCCACATCGTCACCAGCATTTGGTGTGTAGTGGTACCTCATTGTTTCAGTTTGCATTTCCCTGATGACATATGATTTGGAACATTTTCTCATACGCTTATTTGCCATCTGTGTATCCTCTTTGGTGAGGTGTCGGTTAAGGCCTTTAGCCCGTATTTTAATCGGATGTTTGTTTTCTTATTGTTGAGTTTTCAGAATTCTCTGTATATTCCAGTAAACATTCATTTATCAGATGTGTCTTTTGCAAGCATTTTCTTCCAATCTGTGGCTTTTCTTATCATTTTCTTGGCTTTTTTTTTTTTTTTTGCAGAGCAGAATTTTTAATTTTAATGAAGTTCAACTTACCGCTTATTTCTTTCATGGACCGTGCCTTTGGTGTTCTATATAAAAAAGTCATTGCTACACCCAAGGTCATCTAGATGTTCTCCTGTGTTACCGTCTAGGAGTTTTATAGTTTTGTGTTTTACATTTAGGTCTGTTATTCATTTGAGTTGATTTTTCTGAAGGGCGTGTGATCTGTGTGTAGATTAAATGTTTTGGATATAGATGTCCAGTTGTTGTAGCACTATTTGTTGAAAAGACCATCTTTGCTCCATTGTACAGCCTTTGCTCCTTTGTCAAAAATCATTAGACTCTATTTATGTGAGTCTATTTCTGGGCTTTTTATTCTGTTACATTGGTTTTTTTATTTTATTTTTTTTAAATTTTTTGCCATTACCACACTGTCTCGATTGCTGTGGCTTTATAGTAAATCTTCAAGTCTGATAGTATCAGTCCTTCAACTTTGTTCTCCTTGAATATTCTGTTGATTATTCTGGTCTTTGCCTCTTCATATAAACCTTAGATTTAGTTTGTCAATATCCACAAAATAATTTGCTGAGATTTTGATTGGAATTGCATTGCATCTATAGATCAAGTTGGGAAGAACTGACATCTTGACAATAGTGAGTCTTTTTATAAGTTATTCTTTGATTTTGTTCATCTGAGTTTGAAGTATTCCTTATACAGATTTTATACATATTTTATTCTATTATTTTTTTATAAAGAGTTTTTAAAATTTTTTATTGGGGGATGGGAATAGTGCTGGGGAATTGGGGGAAGGGGAACAGACAAGTTGCAGTCCTTTTGTTCTTCAGTCTAGTTGTNGCTCAGAGCTGGTGTCCCAAGCCAGCTCTTAACCAACGCGCCACTTGGCCGGCCCCTGTTTTGACATTTTTGTTGAATCTCAATTGACTGTAAATATGAAGGTGTACTTCTAGATTCTCAATTCTATCCTACTCATCTGTATCTCTTTTTTCATGCTAGCAGCACACTGTTTGGGCCACTGCAACTTTTTAGTAAGTTTTGAAGTTAGAAAGTATGGTTCTTCCATTTTTGTTCTTTTTCAAGTTTGTTTTGGCTGTTCTGGGTCTCTTCCATTTTCATATGAATTTTAGGGCCAGTTTGCCAGTTTCTGTAGATAAACCGGCTGGGATTGTGACAGCCATTGCTCTGAATCTGTAGGTCAATTGGAGGAGCACGGCCATCATAACAATATAAAGTTTTCCTCCACAAACATGGGAGGTCTTTCTATTTAATTAGGTCCTCTTTAATTTCTTTCAATCATATTTGCTTTGAATGAAGAAATATTTTGAATTAAAAAAGTTTTTCCAAGTTATCTTTTATTGTACGTACCACTTGAGAGATAAAATTGCTTTCAGTTATTACTATAATTTTTATGTAATGTGAAATGCATTTGGACCATGTAAAACTTATTTCTGCATTGAAATGAAATGTAAATGGGTTATAATAAAATCTCACTCTGCTAATAATGGTTTGGTTATATGTGAGGCAGAAAATCAGTATAAAAGTAAAAAAATGCATTCTGAAATGTGATAGATGTTAAATCGTTTCTGGCAGATAATTATTGTAGAGGAGTATGTAATCATTTTATTGAAGATATTTAAGCAGTGGTTGTGTTGTAAGGAAGCTTTTGTTTTATAATTTTTTTAAATGATATTTTTTTATTCAATTATAAAAATTATATAGTAATTGTAGAAAATTTGGAAAATGTAGAAGAGGACAAAGGAAATAAACGACTTAAAATTTAATTACACAGAGAAATCACTGATTACATTTTGATATCCCTACTTTTGGTTCTATACATATATATTCATTTTCAAACAAGGGAACATAATTTTATAGCTTAATGTTTTTCATTTAGTA